GCGCACCCCCCTCCCTCTCCCCTATATATAGTTGAGGTCTTGAGGGCTGCCAACACATGAGTTTCTCTCCCTCTTGGCGCAGCCCTACCTCTCTCCCTTCTCCTCTCCCGCGGTGCTTGGCGAAGCCCTGCGGGATTGCCACGCTCCTCCACCACCACCACGCCGTTGTGCTGCTGCTGGACGGAGTCTTCCTCAATCTCTCCCTCTCTCCTTGCTGGATCAAGGCGTGGGAGACGTCACCGGGCTGTACATGTGTTGAACGCGGAGGTGTCGTCCGTTCGGCACTAGGATCTCCGGTGATTTGGATCACGACGAGTACGACTCCTTCAACCCCGTTCTCTTGAACGCTTCCTCTTAGCGATCTACAAGGGTGTGTAGATGCACTCTCCTTCCCCTGGTTGCTGGTTTCTCCATAGATAGATCTTGGTGACATGTAGGAAAATTTTGAATTTCTGCTACGTTCCCCAACATCATGTGTTTGATTTGAAGCCACTTACTGTATTGCCTGGAAAAATGTGTGCAAGCCGAAAAAATTGATGGTCTTGGCATAAAAAAACTTGCATATAAAAAATAAATGCCTAGTTAAGAAATTCACGTTCGAACTCTTACAGCTTCCTGGCTTTCCCTAGATACGTTTAAACCACTACAAATACTCTCTAGCTGCTACTGGTAAACCCTCCCACCACTCTTTTCTTTGGATAGCAGTAAACAACAACTACCCTCCCTTTTAAACATCTCCTTTGTACTCACAAACAATGTCCTTCACTCTACCTTTTTTTGCCTAGCCTCATGACTCTTAAACACACCTCTATAACAATCCCACCCAAGATTTTTCCATACTCCATAACTTACAAGGGGTTACTGGATAATATATGGCATGTTGACTTACTGTACAACCTTCAGCATCGCCTAACTCTTGCCGCTTCTCTCGAGCTGGATGATGATTTGTTTTCTTTGCAGGATTTCCCCTCCAATGCACTTCATGATAAACAATACCTTCTCCATGGTCCATTCACGGCCAAATATGCCTACGCCACCATCACCGACGAGACCTCCATCAACATCAGCATTGACTACATTTGGTGTTCAAAGGTCCCCATCATCAACTTTGGTTGGCTTTTATTCAGGTATTGTCTGAACTCTAAGGAAAATCTTTACCGAAAGTACATCGTCAACGATCCATCATGCCCAAGATGCGATGCACCTTATGAAGATGCTGCCTATATTGCCCTTCTATGTCCAACTGCTTCACATGTGCGGGTGGATCTTGACCTTGCTTCACCTTCTTTGGATCTCATATGGGAGCTATAGTCACCCTTGGGTCTCTACCCGTACATTTGTCCCTCGGTGGCTCTCATGATCCTCTTCAAATTTTGGTACTCTTGGATTGCCATGGCACCCAACAATATGTCGTAAACTGTTTCTCATTTAGATTTAGAGACTCTCTCAAAGGGAGACTGCCAAGTCTTGCTGCTTTACCCATCCTCCCACGTAGATGCTCTTACATAATCTGACAACGATATGAAGAACGTCGTTTTGGTGCCGGAGCTCGCTGGAGCTCGAAAATTTTAGAAAAATCAACATTCAAACTTTCCGGTCTCATGTTAGATAGTCTGGCAGTGCTCTAAGTAAACAAGGATGTTATGTGTATGTGTGTAAATTTTGAGGATGAAATACCTTGAAGTGCCATGTATACAAAAAAGACAAACTCATGACCTGGGAGGATGAATAGTATCATATGTTAAAAAGCCCCAGATTTGTTTCTTTCCTTTTTGCGCAGCCGTCATTTCGACCTATTTTGCCCTGAAAATTTATGCACACGTATTGTGCCTTAAAAATTTACACACATGTGTGTTATGCCTTCATGCATATCTGACTTGTTTTCATAATTTTATGAATTTTGAATTTGGAGGCTTGCATGGAGGCCGAGCTCCAAAAGCAATTTTCAAAACATATGCGGCTTTCATTGGTGATATATTCAGGCGGGGAAGCCCCCCCACCCACCCACCCACCCCTCGTCGGTCCAAAAAACAATTATTGTCATAAATGGCAAAGAACCTTCTATGTTTAGACTAGTCACAGTGGGGAGTAACTTAGAGTAGTAACATGCACATGTTACTAGTCTATGTTACTACCTCCACAGTGGGTAGTAACATATGTGTTGTGTCATGCATCACATCATTTATTAGGTTGTAGACTCCTCTTTTCTTGATATGTGTGATGTTACAGTAACTAGCTATGTTATCACATGCCTATCTTTCTTCATTAATTACATGTCACATCATTTATTTTGCCTAGATAAGTGTGATGTTATCATTTATGTTACTTCCACTGTGGGTAGTCTGTCACTGGTTATTTCCTCGTGCAGCCGACAAATGAAATAGTGAAACAAGGAAGATTTTTCAGCGTACTGCCAATTTAATAAGCATAGGAATGTATGTGCACAATCTATGCTCTGGTTATTATAAATCTCGGTAGTCCAAAAGTATTATAAACGACACATAAGACATAACAAAAATTAACAAGAAACTCCACCATCAACAAATTAACAAGAATGGATCAAAGGAAGTGAGACCAGTCAAGAATAACAACAAAAGAAAAAGGCCCTCCTCCTCATTTCGAGACCTACTCAACAAAGGCAGGCCGGGTAAAAAATAATAAAAAGAAAATGTCAAGAAACAAGTAAGTATATAGTAACGATCTTCTGTTAGAACAGAATGGCGAACTCAAGTCCTTGCATATCCTTGCATTAGCTTCTGCCAGCCGTGGCCATCCCATGCATGACTGCGTGCATGCAAGGGTACGTCTCACATCATGTTAGCCAGTTGCATGCAATTATTGGCCATCTGGCTGAGCTCTTCGTCGTACTTGAGCATTGGGTTTGGTATCCCGGACTGCTGGAACGGTCGGTCGCACGACTGGAAGTCCTGCACGGCGAGCTGCAGCATGATCTTGGCCGTGCCCTTGTCTTTGAAGGTGATGGCCCGCTGCGCCGCGCCGATGGTGTCCTGGGTGTTCATGTACATGGTGTCGCAGAAGCTCAACGCCTGGGTCTGCGCCGGTGTCCCCTTGCGGGACGCGCTTGAGACGTACTTCCGGGCCTGCGCCGTTCGCTTGGCAAACGCGTCAACCTGCATGTTAAGCACTGCCAGATTGTCGATGGTCGGGTACTTGTCTGCGTGTTTCCCAGCCGTGCCCTTGCACAGCTCAGGGAACGGTGTATGCGCGCATACGCCGGCAACCAGTGGGTTGATGGGGCCGCCCCTCCCTCTAGCCGTTGCCAGCGGGAGGAAGCTGGCGGATAACATCGCCGCCACGATGAGCACACCAAGCCGTGCGTTCGCTAGCGCCATAGTTTATTTTGTTGGGTCTCTCGTTGGTGATCGGCAGCTAAATATACATGGAGCGGCGCACCAAGGCAAGGCAAGGCAAGGAGAGGGTAGTGAGATGTGCTAGGGTGGTGACGCTCTTATAGGGGCTTCCTCGGCCTCGGAAATGGTGGTCGACCTTTTGTCTTGGAGCTGACGACGACCATTGATTTTGTGTTGTTTCGTTGGTCGTCCATGTTTGTGGGGTGCGTTGACACTTGACTCCTGCGCATGTCTCAGCCATCCATTTCGTTGGCGATCCGCATGCATGCATGCTTATCACACCTGCCATGTCTTTTTCATTTAGTATGGCTATGGCTCTCGCGAACGCGCTCGCGGCGGGCGTGCTCGCGACGGCGCCGCCCTGATCTTTTCCCTCCGGCCGTCCCTGTGTCAGGCTCGACCAGATCCGGGATCCTCGTCGAGCCTTCTCTTCGCCGCTGTCCTTCTTCCGCGAAGCTCCCTCGTGCTCCTCCGCCTCCCGCCCATCAGCTACGTCGGCGGCGGCTGCAGCTGCCTCTCCGGCCTTGCTGCGCGTTGGCTCTGCGTCCGCGTCGGCTACTGCCGCTCCAGCCGAGGTGAGCGCCGGCTCTGCGCCCCTGTGGGAGGCGGCGGCCGCCGCGGCCTTGCTGGGCGTCGCCTCGGCATCCGAGCCGCCCCTGTTCGTCGTCCCGGCATCCCAGACGACCTCGATGCTGCTGCCGTCTGCCTTGCCCGGCGACCCGTCTGGTCCGGGCGATGTGGTGATGCCCGTCACAGTGCAGGGAGCTCCCAATGCTCTGGCAGCAGCCTCCCAATGCAGTCTGCAGCTCGTCCCAATCGCTCCACTTGCGCCGCTTCAGACGTCGACTGCATCGCCCACCGCCGCCGCTCTAGCGGCGGATGCCCTTGCTCGGCGCAGGTCGGACCCGGCCATTAGTGGGCTTATGGCCGGTGCTCGTCCCAATTGCGGTCGTGGCCTGCAGGCCACCACCCCGGCTCCTCTTGCCACCGGCCAGCTGCCGTCGTCCCCGGTGTCGACGCCTACACCCTTGACGGGGCCAGGTCAGGTGGCCGCTCGCGTGCTGTCTGGTTGGGGGGACTGGCTAGGATGCTTCGGAAGGAAGACGACGTCCGCTGATCCCATGTGTTGTGCGCCAACAGCTCGTGAGGAAACATTGGGAGACTGGCACCTCGTTACCGGCCGCCGCCGTTCGCCATCTTCAAATGCCTTCCGTCGGCCCGGTTCCAATGCCCGGATGGCTCATCCGGCGTGGCTCCGGGATCGATGCTTTCGGTGTCTCTCCAAAGGTCATCACGCTCACTCTTGCAGGGACCCAATTCGGTGCTCAGGATGCCTTCGTTTCCGCCACAAAGTGTGTTTTTGTCATGCTCAGCACCGATCCGATCTGACTACAAAGCCGCGTGATGATGCTGCAAAGCCTAACCCAGCGCCTGCATCGGAGGTTGACGCAACACCGGCTGACGTGCAATTGCAACCCGTCCTAGCGGAGGAGACCGAGCTGCTTCGCACTGAGCTGCGCGACTGCCTTGCGCGAGTTGAGAGTGTTTTGGGGAGAGCAGAGGCTGCTCTCGCCAAACTAGAGGTTGTGCCAGCTGTGTCCTCACTTCCTGAGCTTCAGATCGGGTCTCCTGTTGGGGAGGAAGCAAGCCTCTATGGACATTTCTCCCCTCGTGCTACATCATGTTCGTCGATGTCTGTACTGCTCACTGGCCCTGGGTGTGTAGTCATCGATGAGGTCATGGCTCCAGTGCTGGAGATTATGCCTGAGTTGCAGGAGCGTTGTGGGGAGCCTACTTCACCTCTTTCAATGGTGCTTCCGAAGGAGATGGGGCAGGTGATGTCTGTGGGTGGCGAGGTTGATGAGGTAGGTGCATTGGCACCTATCTCTGGGGCGCAACTACAGGGTTTGCCTCAGCCATGTGTGCAACTGAAGGCGCCTGAGTCCATTGTGTCGGTGGTACCCGTGGCTGAGCATGTTAATGCAGTGGTGTCTGTGAGGGACAAGGTTGATGAGATTCTATTTGAGATACAAGTCAGCAGCTTGCTCGCATGTTTGGAGGCGGTCAGCCCTGGATCTGTCAAGATGATTGTGGAGAAGGCTCTCAGGAGCAAAACTAAGTAGAGTGACGTCACAGGAAAGGCGTCTGCAGCTGCTTGATAGATATTCATCAGTCTATTGGGCGGTCCATATAGTCTGGTTTGTGTTTGTCTATGTGGATTTGGCGGTGTTTGTGGACTTCGGCGGAGGTGCTCTTGTTAGGGGTTTGTTTGCGATGTAGTAGTTTGGAGGTTGATAGTCGTTCCATGTTGGGTTTGTTTGTAGGGCTGATCGTGCGCTTCTGGAGTTGTATGCTCTATGAGTAATCCACATGTGGTTAGTTTGTATCGGTTTTCGCTCGGTTTTCCATTAATTAACTGAGCAATTTTCTTCTGCTTAATTAATCGATGAGGCAATCTTTTGCCTCCGTTTCAAAAAAAATTTAATTTACTATATAGTTTAAACCAAAAATGCAAATTAAACTTCGTTTGCGTATTTGTGTTCATCGCGACGAGAGCATTTGAACAAGACCGATTTTGAATACATTTTGGCAACTTAAATAAAACTAAAATTCAAGTATTGAAACTTGATAATTATAACATTAATTTTTACCAAGTTTCATCAAGTTTTACCAAATTTCATATGCTTTTAGGGTTTTAGGGTTCTGGGCTTAGGGCTTAATTTTTAGTTTTAAAACTTGCTAAATTCATAATTCTTTCTATCAAGCTTTAGTAGTTGAAACTTGCTGGACCACCTGATTTACCTCGCGATCCGCAAACTCATCCAATTCCGCACGAGGGCACACCAAATTTTAAGTTTCAGTTTTCTAAAACTTACATTTTTATCGTTGCACATACCAAGTTTGGATTTAAAAACTCGTCAAAACTTATTTAAAATGGATCTTTTTTGAAAGCATTCGCCATAAGCAACACAAATCTAAAAATGAAAATTAAAATGGACTTGTCATTCAAAATATATAGAAGATTGAAAGTTAAACTGTAAAAGAAAAGGGATGAGCGGTGGGATGGTTGAAGCAGCTAAAAGTTGCAAAAAATGCATGTGGGGACCTATTTAATGTAATATATGCATGGGAACT